GATTGATCGTGGCGACGACGACGACGACGAAAGGCCGCCGTGAGAGCGTCCGTCGCTGCCGACCTGCCACGTCGCCGGCGGGGCCCCAACGTCATCGCCCCGTTTGTGTTTTTGGAGGGTAATTCAATTTCACGATTCGTTGACTTCCAGCAGCAGCAGCAGCAACAACAACAACAGGGAATGGGAGAGGCGGTGGCGGGGGGGAGAGGAGGAGGAGGAGAGGCTGGGTGAGAGCGAGAGAGCTAATTAATGACACGGGCGCGCGTGTGAGAACGGGGGCGCCCCCGAGCCAACTCGCCGCGCGTGCACCGAATGTACGGACGGTGCCTCGCTCGTGGGGCCTACACCACAAGACCACCACCATCATCATCACCGTCGTCATCCAGCAGTGGATCGCTCGTGACGACGACGACGACGACTGCTGCGGCGGCGGCGGTGACGCGCGACCGACTCGGACTTCCTTCTCGGCGGTTTGGTCAAACACAAACGAAAACAATTTGTCATCGTTTCGTGTTAACCGCCCTGGCACGTCGCGCCCGCAGGCAGTTGCCGCGGGGCAGAGTGGCGGCCGTGGCGGGGGAGGGGGGAGGGGTCCGCGTAGACCCCACGCTGCCGGAGACGCAGCGCTGGCAAGGGTACGGCACAGGTGGAGATAAAGGCGCATCCCTGCAATTGCCTGCCGGCGGACGGGGCCCCTCTGCCCCTCCGGCCCCCCGCCCGAGGGTGCCGCGTGGCCCCACTCGTCCAGGCCGGTGTCGTCTCGGAGTCTTGGAAGAGGGGTGGGGGGAGGAGCACCCCCCGCTGAACACCGCCGGCAAGGAGACCGGCGCGTGGCTCTGTGGCCACGTGGGCTAACGCCCACTCGCGATGTAACATCGGCGTACGTATATATTATGCGTGGTCATTTGGGTTGGTTGTTTTTTCTCTCTCGTGTACCCGATGCCCTAACTGTGGAAAAGCATTGGCTAAAGAAACCCCACCACTAAACGAAACAAATGTTTATTTTTTTCTTTTAACCAGGCAAGGCCCACTGAGCTATATGTAGCTCTCTGTCAGAAGCGACCTGGCCATCACACCTGACAGCTCAGCGAATTGGCTCATCGCGTGGAAAATGAAGAGCAATCAAACACTCTGAATGGCTGATGTTGATTCTACATGTGCAGGGAAAAGCCAGAGGATCATCACAACCACCACCATCATCACCATCTCCACCACTGTCACCACGATTGACGCCACCACAATCACCACCACCGCCGCCGCCACAATCGCCACGATCACCACGATCACCACGATCACCACAATCACCACCATTCCCACCTGTGCGTATGTTGAACTTCATTCGCGCCGCACGTAGCCAACCGTGCTACGTAGAGGTGTGGGACAATGGCAGTGATGCAGCGGTCGTTGTTGTTGTTGTTGTTATCGCGAGCAAGTGTGAAGTGTCCGACCCCTATGACCTCGTCAGCTGTGTGGAGTGGGGGGTGGGGGCAGTGGCGGTGGGGAGGGGGGGGTAGCGTGAGGGAGGGGAGGGGCTGTAGAACAAAGGGCCCCGTATGCTCCGAGCTGATAAGAGATCTCAGCTGCCACGAGGAAACCTCTGGGTGCACCTAGGCTGGCACGAGCCAGGCTGGCACGAGCCAGGCTAGGTGGCTTTCCGCGTACGTGCGTTTGCGCGTGTGCGTGCGTGCGTGTAGTCTGTGTGAGTGTGGGGAGCGGTGGCGCAGCGGTTAGCGCGCTGCGCTACGAACCCGGCCACCCGAGTTCAATTCCCGCTCACGGCCAACGCCGGTGACGAACATCTGAACCGGTCCTGGGCCTCCCCTAGGTCGACTCAGCCTCAAATGAGTACCTGGTGCGATGCCTAAAAATATCGCCACGAGCGAGACAAAAACGACCCGGCGTGGGGCTGCCCACCCACCCCCTCGTGTGTCGTCGCGGCCTTCATAGGTGCTCGCTAACAGCACTTGCCCCAACAGTCTGTGGAGTCTACACGGGGGATCTTTGTCTTTACGTGTGGCCTCTGGGTTTATCCAAAGCACCGATTGGCTCAACGCCGACGTACAAACAGCACAGCGGCAGGCCCAGGTCACAACGCGGTACAGGTTCGCCCTCATTGCCCGGCTTAAACAAAACCGCTTACTGCTCTAGACATTTGACTCCACGAGTGTGACAGGAACCGGTAATGAACTGGCGAGGATCACCGGCACCGCGCTCCGGCCAGGATCGCCGGGACCGCGTTCCGATCAGGAATGACCGGGACCATGATAACAAACAGAGCAATTGGTGCGGAGTGCGTGCCGCGAGATGTGAGTCACAGGAGCCCCCCCCCCGCCCCCCCCCGCAAAGAAAAGAGGAATTTGATTAAAATAAAACCACACAGAACAAGCACACTCGCCGCATATTAATACAGCCGCGTGGGCGGCTGAGGCGTGGAGTGGTGGAAGGTGGCGGTGCTGCTCATGTTAATGGCGGGTTGGTGACTGCTGTTGTTGACGGCGGTGGCGGCGACGGTGGTGACGGTGGTGATAGAGGCGGTTGGTGGTGGTGACGGTGGTGATAGAGGCGCTTGGTGGTGGTGGTGACGGTGGTGATAGAGGCGGTTGGTGGTGGTGACGGTGGTGATAGAGGCGGTTGGTGGTGGTGGTGGTGATAGAGGCGGTTGGTGGTGGTGGTGGTGATAGAGGCGGTTGGTGGTGGTGGTGGTGGTGATAGAGGCGGTTGGTGGTGGTGGTGACGGTGGTGATAGAGGCGGTTGGTGGTGGTGGTGACGGTGGTGATAGAGGCGGTTGGTGGTGGTGACGGTGGTGATAGAGGCGCTTGGTAGTGGTGACGGTGGTGATAGAGGCACTTGGTGGTGGTGGTGGTGACGGTAGTGATAGAGGCGCTTGGTGGTGGTGGTGACGGTGGTGATAGAGGCGCTTGGTGGTGACGGTGGTGATAGAGGCGGTTGGTGGTGGTGGTGACGGTGGTGATAGAGGCGGTTGGTGGTGGTGGTGGTGACGGTGGTGATATAGGCACTTGGTGGTGGTGACGGTGGTGATAGAGGCGGTTGGTGGTGGTGACGGTGGTGATAGAGGCGCTTGGTGGTGGTGGTGGTGGTGGTGACGGTGGTCATAAAGGCGGTTGGTGGTGGTGACGGTGGTGATAGAGGCGGTTGGTGGTGGTGGTGGTGGTGACGGTGGCACCGGTGGACGCAGTGGTGAGTGTGGTGCACTCCGAGCCCGGCGAGCCGAGTTCGATCTCCGCTCATGGCCAACACCGTACTCTGGGCCTCGTCAAGGTCGGCTCGGCCTCGAATGAGTACCTGGTGCGGTGTAGTAAACATCGTCACCGGGGAGACAAAAGCGGCCGGGCGTGATGCTGGCCACCCATCCCCTCGTGTGCCGTGCCGGCCTTCATAGGTGCTCGCTAACAGCGCTTGCCACAAAAGTCTGTTAAGGCTATCCGGGGGATCTTTGTATTTTGGTGGTGATAAGAGGTGGTGGTGATGATGATGAGATGCTAATGGAGGTAGTGATGATGGTGATAGTGGTGGTTGTGGTGGTGCTAGCGGTGGTGTTGGTAACAGCGGGGTTGGTAGTGGTGATAATGTTGATAGAGGTGGTGGTGATGGTAATATTCGTGATGGTGGTGGTGGCGGTGGTGATGGTATTGGAGGTAGTGCTGGCAATGGTGCTGGTAATGATGGTAATAGTGATGATGGTGATCATGGTGGTGGTGAGTGGTTGAGCGAATGAGTGGGTGGGTGAGTTGGTGAGTGAGTGGGTGGATGAGGGAGTTGGTGAGTGGGTGAGTGAGTGGGTGGGTGAGTGGGAGTGGGTGAGTGAGTGGGTGAGTGAGTGGGTGAGCGTGTGAGTGTGTGTGTGTGAATGTGTAAGTCTGTGAGTGTGTGAGTGGGTGAGTGAGTTGGTGAATGAGTGGGTGAGTGAGTGGGTGAGTGTGTGAGTGAGTGGGTGAGTGAGTGAGTGGGTGAGTGAGTGAATGTGTGAGTGAGTGGTTGAGTGAGTGTGTGAGTGAGTCTGCGGGTGAGCGAGTTGGTGAGTGTCGGTGAGTGAGTTGGTGAGTGTGGGTGAGTTGGCGAATGAGAGAGTGGGTGAGTGGATGTGTGAGTGGGTGAATGTGTGGATGAGTGTGTGTGATCTCTCTCAAAATTGCCAGGATATCGTTGTTAGACGACGTAACGAGCAAAGAGCGGTGTGGGGACATCGGAGCCGGGCCAGCTTTGTCTCCCCAGTAACAATAACGTACAATTTAAAATACGCACAGTTTTCGTTCTCAGAATGATTCACAGACAAGCGGGGGGAGGGCAGTCAGAACCGGCGTTGTTAATAATTGCCCAAGTTCTGTGGGCCTACATCTGTGTATTTGGCTAACTCTGCAAACGAGTGGGAAGGATATCGGAGTACCTCCAACAATTTCCCAAGCTCTGTGCTCCTATCTTACGAAGCTTGTCCAAACTATAGTGCCGTGCCGAGCAATAGCGGGGGCACCCTTGTACATCCCGCAGCGGGGCGGGGGGGGGGGGGGGGGCCAGATGCTCCTCATTCGTCGAGGCATCGGCGGCCGGCTCATCGCTCACGGAAATGAACACGGGGGGTTTTGGTGGGGTGACGCCAAAGGTAAAAGCGGTTCACGCGATCGAGCTGCGACGACAGGGGGAGACCTTGGTTCCGTGTGACATCCGCTTCCGCGGGGCCGTTGTCCAACGTGAGGGGCGCGATGCCGCCGCTCACTTACCGTGGGTGCTCCGGACGGTCAGGACGCAAAAGTCAAAAAGTACAAAAAGTAAAAAAAAGTAGAAAAGTGGACGCATGCCGTACCCCGCACTCTCGGTACGATTCAACGCGGGGTCACGGGGAGGTCGCAGGCGGGTCACGGTCAGGTCACGGGGTCACCGGAGAGAGTCGCGGGAGGTCGAGGGCCGGTGGCCGCGTCACGTGGGGGAGAGTGGGTGGTGGTGGTGGGGGGGGGGGGGGGTTGCCGCGGCGACGTTGGCTCACCTTGGCGACGAGCATGCGGTAGTTGTCAAGCATGGCGTCGTCGTCACGGCAACCGGCGAGCAGCTGCCACACGTCGCCCCGCAGCGCCTCGGGGACTCCGCCACGCACCAGCGCCGGGAGCTGGCGCGGGCGCACGCTCGGGTTGCCGTGCCTGGGGGGGCGGGGCACGGGGGGGGGGGGGCACGGGGGGGAGGGGCGTGAAGGTGAGTAGAGGTTAGAAGAGAAAAGACGAAGAAGGGTGGGGGAGGGGGGTGTCAGTGAGTGGATTGGGGTGGGGGTGGGTAAGAAGGCGGCAAGGAGGAGAAGGGGGCGAGGGGACAGGACAGCCGGGACGCGTGGAGACACGGGGACACAGGGACAGGGGGCCAGGGACTAGGCGGACGGGGGACACGTGGGGACACGGGGAGTCGTGGGGACACGGGGGCACGGGAACAGGGGCGGTGGAGCGACGCGGGGGGAGGACACATTCCGCGGCGAGGACTCGGCCGGCCTCCATTTGTCTCCGCGATGACGACAGTTTTGATTAAATTTGCGTCGCTAATCACACGAGGCGACGCAAATTTACACGTTCGCACTGGAGCACAGAGAGTTTTAAAGGGCCCCACGGACTCACAGAGGATACGCCGACTCGCACACAGAGACCGACGGACTCGCACCGAGACTCGAACGCGCAAATGCAACGCTTTTGCCGTCCGGGACTCCCCACCCCCCCCCCCCCCGGAGCGAGCTACCGCATTCCCGCTCTCGTGCGTAGTCGGGAATCGCGAACACGACGCTTCCTCAACTCTGATGCCACGACCCAGAATCGCGGTGAATCATCGGATCGCCGGGAGGGGCAGACACCGAGAGGCTCATTTCAGCCTGACACCTACCCCCCCCCCCAGCCTAACCCAGCCCACAGAGCCCCCCCAACAACGCTCCCCGAGACCCCCGCCCCCCACCCCCCCACACACCAACCCCCCACCCATCCAGCAGCGACGTTCTCGCCGTCGTCACTCCAACACGTCCGCCCTTCACCCCCCCCCCTCTCTCTCTCTCTAGCGCCGGGCAAACACCGCCCCCCCCCCCTTCCTCCCCGCCCCACACAAGTCCCTTAATGAGTCATTAACCTAACGTGGTCACTGTGGCGCAGTGCTGATGGGAGCTGCTGCTGGTGGTGGTGGTGGTTGTGGTGGTGGTGGTTGTGGTGGTGGTTGTGGTGGTGGTTGTGGTGGTCGAGAAGCGGCAATGCGAACCCGGCGAACCTATTCAGACCCACCCGCTCGTGCGCCGTGCCAGCCTGCACAAGTGCTGCTCGCTAACAGCACTTGCCCCAACAGTCTGCGAAGGCTATAGGAGGGATCTTTGCTTTTTGGTAAAGGAGTGGATGGGGTGTTATGGGGATGGGGGGGGGGGAGGTAGGATGAGTGGAGGGGTGGGGGCGGTGGAGGGGGGAGGAGGTGGCCGGAGGGGCAGGAATTGATGGGAAGGGATCGCGAGGTCAGCCAATCGAAGCGTGTTACTTTAATGGGAATTAAATCGCTCGGCAATTATGCGCCGACGATGGGAACCTCTTCTGTGCGTGCGTGCGGACAGGGGACCCGGGACGTCCTTGGACAAATGGACGGACAGCGTGGACGCAATACGTAATCGACACAAAGACAGACACATCAGCACTGCCCATAGACTCAGCACTGCACCATAGACTCAGCACTGCCCATAGACTCAGCACTGCCCATAGACTGAACACTGCCCCATAGACTCAGCACTGCACCATAGACTCAGCACTACCCATAGACTCAGCACTGCACAATAGATTCAACACTGCACAATTGACTCAGCACTGCACAATAGACTCAGCACTGCCCATAGACTCAGCACTGCACCATAGACTCAGCACCGCCCATAGACTCAGCACTGCACCATAGACTCAGCACTGCACCATAGACTCAGCACTGCCCATAGATTCAGCACTATCCATATATTCAGCATTGTCCATAGACTCAACACTGCACATAGACTCAGCACTGCCCATAGACTCAGCACTGCACCATAGACTCAGCACTGCACCATAGACTCAGCACTGCCCATAGACTCAGCACTGCACCATAGACTCAGCACTGCCCATAGACTCAACACTGCCCATAGACTCAGCACTGCACCATAGACTCAGCACTACCCATAGACTCAGCACTGCACAATAGATTCAACACTGCACAATTGACTCAGCACTGCACAATAGACTCAGCACTGCCCATAGACTGAGCACTGCACCATAGACTCAGCACTGCCCATAGACTCAGCACTGTACAATAGACTCAGCACTGCACCATAGACTCAGCACTGCCCATATAATCATCACTGTACCAGAGACTCAGCACTGCCCATAGACTCATCACTGCCCATAGACTCAACATTGCCCATAGACTCAGGACTGCACCATAGACTCAACACTATCCATAGACTCAGCACTGCCCCATAGACTCAACACTGTCCATAGACTCAGCACTGCCCCATAGACTCAACACTGTCCATAGACTCAGAACTGCCCCATAGACTCAACATCGCCCATAGACTCAGCACTGTCCATAGACTCAGCACTGCACCATAGACTCAGCACTGTACCATAGACTCAGCACTGCCCATAGACTCATCACTGCCCATAGACTCAACATTGCCCATAGACTCAGGACTGCACCATAGACTCAACACTATCCATAGACTCAGCACTGCCCCATAGACTCAACACTGTCCATAGACTCAGCACTGCCCCATAGACTCAACACTGTCCATAGACTCAGAACTGCCCCATAGACTCAACATCGCCCATAGACTCAGCACTGTGCATAGACTCAGCACTGCGCCATAGACTCAGCACTGCCCCATAGACTCAACACTGTCCATAGACTCAGCACTGCCCCATAGACTCAGCACTGTCCATGGACTCAACACTGCACCATAGACTCAGCACTGCACCATAGACTCAGCACTGCCCCAAAGACTCAACACTGCCCATAGACTCAACACTGTCCATAGACTCAGCACTGCACCATAGACTCAGCACTGCCCCATAGACTCAACACTGCCCATAGGCTCAGCACTGCCCAAAGACTCAGCACTGTCCATAGACTCAGCACTGCACCATAGACTCAGCACTGCCCATAGACTCAGCACTGCACCATAGACTCAGCACTGCCCAGAGGCTCAGCACTGCCCATAGACTCAGCATTGTCCATAGACTCAGCACTGCCCATAAACTCAACACTGCCCATAGACTCAACACTGCCCATAGACTCAGCACTGCCCATAGACTCAGCACTGCACCATAGACTAAGCAATGCCCATAGACTCACCACTGTACCATAGACTCAGCACTGCACCATAGACTCAGCACTGTCCATAGACTCAGCACTGCCCATAGACTCAGCACTGTCCATAGACTCAACACTGCCCATAGACTCAGCACTGCACCAAAGACTCAGCACTGCCCATATATTCAGCACTGTCCATAGACTCAGCACTGCACATAGACTCAGCACTGCCCATAGACTCAGCACTGCACCATAGACTCAGCACTGCACCATAGACTCAGCACTGCCCATAGACTCAGCACTGCACCATAGACTCAGCACTGCCCATAGACTCAACACTGCCCATAGACTCAGCACTGCCCCATAGACTCAGCACTGCACCATAGACTCAGCACTACCCATAGACTCAGCACTTCACCATAGATTCAACACTGCACCATTGACTCAGCACTGCACAATAGACTCAGCACTGCCCATAGACTCAGCACTGCCCAGAGGCTCAGCACTGCCCATAGACTCAGCACTGTCCATAGACTCAGCACTGCCCATAGACTCAACACTGCCCATAGACTCAACACTGCCCATAGACTCAGCACTGCCCATAGACTCAGCACTGCACCATAGACTCAGCACTGCCCATAGACTCACCACTGCACGAAAAACTCAGCACTGCCCATAGACTCAGCACTGTACCATAGACTCAGCACTGCACCATAGACTCAGCACTGTCCATAGACTCAGCACTGTCCATAGACTCAGCACTGCCCATAGACTCAGCACTGCACCATAGACTCAGCACTGCCCAGAGGCTCAGCACTGCCCATAGACTCAGCACTGTCCATAGACTCAACACTGCCCATAGACTCAACACTGCCCATAGACTCAGCACTGCCCATAGACTCAGCACTGCACCATAAACTCAGCACTGCCTATAGACTCAGCAGTGTACCATAGACTCAGCACTGCACCATAGACTCAGCACTGCCCATAGACTCAGCACTGCCCATAGACTCAGCACTGTACCATAGACTCAGCACTATACCATAGACTCAGCACTGCCCATAGACTCATCACTGCCCGTAGACTCAGCACTGCACCATAGACTCAACACTGCCCATAGACTCAGCACTCCCCATAGACTCAGCACTGTCCATAGACTCAGCACTGTCCATAGACTCAGCACTGCACCATAGACTCAGCATTGTCAATAGACTCAGCACTGCCCATTGACTCAGCACTGCACCATAGACTCAGCACTGCTCATAGACTCAACACTGCCCATAGACTCAGCACTGCCCAGACTCATCACTGTCCATAGACTCAGGACCGCACCATATACTCATCACTGCCCATAGACTCAACATTGCCCAAAGACTCAGGACTGCACCATAGACTCAACACTGTCCATAGACTCAGCACTGCCCCATAGACTCAACACTTTCCATAGACTCAGCACTGCCCCATAGACTCACACTGTCCATAGACTCAGAACTGCCCCATAGACTCAACACTGCCCATAGACTCAGCACTGCACCATAGAATCAGCACTGCCCCATAGACTCAACACTGTCCATAGACTCAGCACTGCCCCATAGACTCAGCACTGTCCATAGACTCAGCACTGCACCATAGACTCAGCACTGCACCATAGACTCAGCACTGCCCATAGACTCAGCACTGCATCATAGACTCAGCACTGCCCCATAGACTCAACACTGCCCATAGGCTCAGCACTGCCCATAGACTCAGCACTGCACCATAGACTCAGCACTGTCCATAGACTCAGCACTGCCCATAGACTCAGCACTGCCCATAGACTCAGTACTGCACCATAGACTCAACACTGCACCATAGACTCAGC